AACGTATTTCTATATTTCTACAACTGTGTTTAACTTAAATCGTGGTTGCATCCACTTATAAAATAAGGGCACATCACCTTAATTACTCAATTATACTTTAATTATTCAACTCATATATTATCATATTCCAGGTCGAGTGCGGTCCCCTGCATACGAGAAAGCTTATTGTGCCTCGGGAACGTCGATAATTTGCTTTTATCGCTCGGATCTGTGCGTGAAAACGCACTATTATGCGATCATTGGCGACGTAACGGTAATTAAAGGGAACACCTGGGGGGCGATCGCAATAATTCGGTCTACATTTAAAACATGTTGTTTTCGCCTTACAGAATTATCTTCTCCGAAAGGTGCGATTGTCAAGCGCGAACAATTGGTTAATAGTTATCGATATTATAACTGTTTTCTTACAATAATGTACACTGCTGCGGCTTACGATAATCTGCATTATTGTAAAAAGATGCGCGGCCGCTCAAACGCACCGCCGATGACGCGCTTCGGTTTTGTTCGCCTTTCCTCGTTCCACGTCACGCTTTTATTGTTATCACTGGTTTTCTCACTTTTGCACAACTTACGGTAATTCATATTTGGTACAATTTGATATGTTTTACCCATTGCCAAAATCATTTAATAGTGTTATTGTCGGCACTTGCGAGAGAAGGCAAACAAACTGTATTTCATTACAACAATTAATTGTCGCTTAAACACTAAATAGGTTCAAAGTTGGTATAAACAATTTTGTACCGCTGGACGTATCTTTTCAAGATATGAATTTTGTGCAAGGCCCGAGCATAATTTGATGACAAAGATCATAGCATTCACTATGCCGAAGCGATTATTGGACTTTTCAGAAAGCAGCAACTATGTAAAAAAGATAACCGTTATTGTGTTCGAGATATGAAATAATCGTCAATTCCACCACGCTTTCTTGAAGTAGAGCAATTTACTAAAGTTAATGAAAGTTTTATTGAATTTCATTGCGTTAGTGTTTTGACAACCACGTGTTTCGCCAGATTACTAATATTTTACTGTAGAAATTGAACTATTTTCTTAGTAATACAATTTGTCGACGGCGATGACCTAGAGAGGTTGGAGCAACGTACGAATAACAAAAATAATTAATTTGAAATGTTGACTAAAGATGTTGGCGACACAGGTTAAAGGTCTCAGATGAAAACTCAATGAATGATCTCCACCTCACACAGGGTGTTATTTAATTGAATAATCAGTGTCGAGCGGGAAGAAATGTATCACTTAAAAATTAAACTCTTCATGTATCATGGGATGCTTGTACACAGCCTTGTTTGCGGAGGTTGTGTTTGAAAATTCTTGGGATCGGTAAAAACGTTTCATAAAATAGTTACATTTTCGTGCAGTGATGTTACTAATCCTGTCAAATCAACATAGTCGATAAACCAAAATACAAGTTCTTACGTTGATTGAGACAGATTTTGATAGTACCATTACAGATCTCACAATAGTTCATATATTCATGATACACTATGTATAATTACGGCCTCCAATTTTTCACTTTAATAAATTTATATTTTGATTTATGTATAAAATTGCGTCGAATCCATGTTTTTCTCCACTAAATGTTGATATATTTCTCAAATAATTCGATCACTTTTGTTTACACAATAGGTTCTGTGTTTATTGTGAAGGTTCAATTGCGCAGAATAATTCTTATCAAACTAATGCAATCCTTTCACAGTCAGAATTTCATGACTATGATGTGGTTATCGCTACGATTCGTTTCCCTTGACGCATAGCGTCTTCAACTGGATATAAATACATTATGAATAGCTTCGCTGCGAATATACCGCGATTAATAAAAAAGTATTTCGTAGACAAAAAAAAATGTCGGAATAAAAATACATTTGATGTGTAAAGTGTATAACCAATGTAGATTTAAATATTCATTTGGCAATGGCAATCATTTGAGTCGTATACTTCTATAGTCAGGACTACGAGAAGTTTAAGATGCAATGGCCCCAAGATCGAGCAAACTGTGTTCAGGTTGCAGACCGAAGGGGATCTAGATTTCAAATACACCTCCCACCACTTCACTCGTGGTGTACAATGCGAACTTGAAATGTTCTGCCGATTCAGAAAGATATTTTTTGTAATAATACACAAGAAATACAGTTTAAAAAGTCAAAATATTACAATCAGACAGCCTTTTTAGATTAATTAATTTGATTATTAATTCTAACGCGAACAAAAATTGAATAGTCTTATAATCACGTTTGTAAAAAAGTCTTTGATGCGATGCGAATCCGGAGTTGGCACCAAAGTTATGTTGTAGACCAGGATCGGACACCTGGGAGGCAGTCGCAGTAATCTGGTCTACATTTAAACACAGTTGTTTCCACCTTACAAAATTATCATTTCCGGAAAGTGAGGTAATCAAGCGCGAACAAACGGTTAATAGTTATCGATATTATAACTGTTTTCTTACAATAATGTACACTACAGCGGCTTCCGAGAACCTGCATTATTGTAAAAGATGCGCGGCCACTCAAACGCATGGCCGATGACGCGCTTCGATTTTGCTCGCCTTTCCCCGTTCCACGCCACGCTTTTATTGTTATCACTGGTATTCTCACTTTTGCACAACTTTCGGTAATTCATATTTGGTACAATTTGATATGTTTCACCCATTGCCAAGATCATTTAATAGTGTTATTGTCGGCACTTGCGAGAGAAGGCAAACAAACTGTATTTCATTACAACAATTAATTATCGCTTAAACACTAAATAGGTTCAAAGTTGTTACAAACAATTTTCACCGCTGGACGTATCTTTCCAAGATATGAATTTCGTCCAAGGCCCGAGCATAATTTGATGACAAAGATCATAGGATTTACTATGTCGAAGCGATTTCTGTGTGCTAGCAAAAGCCGTGGGGTAATTCTCGCAAAATTAAAGTGATCGGTTTGGTGACGCGCGAGTTCGTTGTTCAACCAAAGCGGCTAGCTACTGGAAAGATAGTATATTGACATGCTAATACCAAAGAGAATGACCAAAGAGACGGCGCAGTGTTTTTTGGTTGGCGATCCGAGTTCGTCCCAAAAATTATGGAAAGTGTCCGCCTCTGCTAAAGACAAATAAAAATATTCGCGTCCTTAATTTTATGGCAAAAATTTACTGAATAACGTAAAATAATTATTTTGTAAAATAGATCATTATGCGGTAGATTTGGTAGTTTTGCTGGGCCTAACTATGTGGGCTTCGCGAGTTAAAATTATCTCGAGTTCTAATTCCATAGCAACCACCTCGAAGGGTAATTGAATGGAGTGTGAAGGGCCAAATCATAACGAAGCACTGAGTAAGTATCAGTGTTGCTTGTACTCTTGCAAAGCCCTATTATGAGTGGAAGTGAAAAAAAGTCTCGTTCGGAGATGTCGATAATCCGGAGAAGACAAAAGATGGCTGCCAGACAGAACATATTATATTAGCAATTGATTTTTTTTCACAATGCGAATAGAAACATTACGGCCGTAAAATAAATGTTGATAACACAGTAAGGAATGAATAACCGATGTACTACAAGGCCGGTTATTGACACTTACTCCAAATAAATATTGCAAAATTAGCATAAAACATCAGCCTATTTTCTTCCATATGGAACGTCCTCGCCCCTAGCTGTCGAATTCCGGTTCTGGAAGTCTTAATAGCGGCTAATATTAACGGAATTGGTTACATTCGTTGCATTTATGAGTTTTGTACAGTAATAAATAGAGCGTGAGCAGCGTGAAACCTTCAACATTACCCGGTGCCAAATGATGTATATATATATATATACGTCGGTGTCACGGAGAGTGTAAAAAGTCATCGAATTGTATTTGCAATCGTATTAATTGCGAATGCAGGTACATAAAAAAAGTAAACTTAGACAATAAAGTTGATCATTTGTGTCGTAAATTTCTTTGATAATTTTGTTTGGCTTAACTATGCTGGCGTCGCAAGTTGGAAATCCTGGGTACAAATCCAGTATCCCTCACCTCCCCCAAGTTGTAATTCAACCGAACAGTCAATGTTGAACCCGAAAAATATCTCTGCAGTTTCTTAGTCCGAATGGTATGAATACGCCGGTGGTTATTGTTACGAATTGTGACCTTGGAAAGCGTACGAAGCTTTTGGATTGTTATGCACATTTTAGATCATATGGATTGATGAAAGCTATTTAAATTAATTTACGTTCTTCTGCAAAATAATTCGACGGAAAATAGTAAGCTATTTTTATATTAATCAGAAATTGGGTATTTCTTCGGCTCAATTAAATTATGTCAAAATCAAAATAATTTGTTATTACAGCAGAACCTATTGTATTAGTGTTGTAACTGAAAAGTATTTTTGCAATAATTATCTTTCTGACGTAGACTTCATAAGCTGAAGCTGTAAAGTGTGTAGATTCGATAAAGGTTGTCATGAGCGTTACAGCTAACTATGTTGCAAGGTAAAGATCGATCGAGTAACCTATGCTGAACTAGATAGATTACGGTTCCTCCCAAAAATGTTGCTCATAACGTATCGATGTCTGCTTGCACCGAGCCTTCTTTAGAGTGAAGATGGGAAAACCCCGCTTGGAGATAATTTGGGTGTAAAAAGATTATTACCTAATATTTTAAATATATTACCGAAGGAACCATTTGACTTTCATAAGAAAAAGCTGATTAGCCGTTAGATTATATTTCGAACAATCGAAATAAGACGAAGATAGTCACGGACTCTTGTATTTTAATATATTTTACATGATCCAACAGGTCTTAGGGTTCATATACAAGTCTAATACTAACACGGGTCTTTAAACGCGGTTCAGCGTTTAAGAGCAGTCATTAAACTGATTACTCGACGCCATTTATAAATAAATTGGAATACAAAATAACTTGAAGCCACAACGTGTTTGATTCATTTTGAACTGCTATGTTTTAGGCATGAAGATATGGAATAATGCAGAAAATATGTTGATGGTCAAATAATATTGCTTATCTACTTACGTTGCTGTTCCCAGCGTGTTTTTTGAAAATCCTCAAGTGATTTGCTTCTAAATGGTTGTGGGCAAAATTGCACTCCCTAACGTCGTATATCGAACAAACTTCGCCATATTGAGAGAAGAGAGTATTTGACATCCGAGAGTATTTGTTCCGTACCGTGAGGTCATGAATCACCATCTAGGAATAATTTACAAAATAGCGAATTAGCATTCAGTCTGAATATTTTTGAATATTCTAAATGTTTCATCAGGAAATGTTTAGCTGGGCTCTTAGAAATGTTCAAGTCATATTCAAATTATGCATACGACTACATATCAATGTATATTGTTTGAATTGTTCTCACACTTGCATCCCGAACAGAAATGTGTACTTCAATCACGGATACTCAAAAATACATTTCACTTATTTAAATGAGATATCTATTGTATATACGGTGAAGTATGTCTATCCATTAAAAGTATCTACTGTGTGAAGTATTGAAATATCTTTTATAATGAAGCATGAAATGGCCTTTCGCAACTGGGTGTGGAAACCTTCGCTCTTGCTTTCGCGTGATGTCGGCCTTCAGACGCTCAAATTTGAATTGACACCTTTGAATCTCAGCTGATTTACAATAGCTTCCACTATTTTGTCATAAACTATGTATATAAGCAAGAAAGTACACGTATTCGCCATTTTGAACATCAATTTTAATATGATCAATTATTAAGATATCCATGACAATTCAATATTAAGATTTAACTGACGTTTGCTCAGTGCCCTCGAAAACTACGATAAAATACATGGTTTTTGGAATGGGCGTTAATTTGTCATTTTTAGAATCTCCTTATCACAATTGCCTATTCCAGCGAAAGCTATGTCCTCTAAGCCATAGGTTCTCAAAGTGCTCCGTACGGAGCCCCAGGGCTCCGCGAGAGAAACCCAGGGGCTCCGCGAGCTATTCGATTACTTTTCAAAATACTGACTAATTTTGTAACTGTTCAAAGAAGCAATAACAGCTTTGATGAAATCTGACAACAGTATAGCCTCGAAATATGGCAAAGAGGCGGAATTTAAAAAAATGACATCATTTATAAACACGAGCGCAGCCAGGATTCTTAAGGGGAGGTGGTTCAAAATTGGAATCGGAAATTTTCGCGCAAGATTCTTCGCGATTAAAAAAACGTATAACGAGATTTCTGTTGCGTAAAATATTCAATCCATGACCGATGCGAGCATTCAACGTGTCTCGTCGTTATAATGTAATTGTGCTCATCGTTACTTGATTCGAGATTACTATTAGGATTACTAAAATGAAAGAATACTATTCTAAGATAACATAAAATATGTGATAAACTGCCAACTATAAATAAATTGGAGTCGTATTTTTGCGATCTTGGGATTTGTCAAACTTGATTTGTTCTTTCGCATTTGAGATTATTTTTCAGCAAGATATCGCCGTTTAAAATATCACAATGTCTGGGCAAAACACGAATTGCATTCGGCTCCGTCGATAGTTTCAGAATAAAAAAAGGGTACATCGCGGATCGCGCGCACAATTGATGGCGTTTCGATTTCGCAGTTACTACGATGAAAACCTAACATAACACCAAATTTTGTGATTCACAATGTCTATAAAAGCGTTTTCAATCCTAGGTGAGTCCGCTGAAACCAAACGTGTGATCTACCATTTTAATTTTTAGTTTTAATATTTTGGAATGCCGCTTTTCAATCAATAAATTTGAGTTGCGGAATTACCTCTTTATTATTTATTATTTTTAGCATTTCGCCGCCGATGACTATAATATGGTAACATGTTTTTCACATTGAACTCAAAATTACCCACGAGAACAAAAAAGCAATTAACGTCGTCATTGTGTTACAGTACAAGTATATGCAGAATGAAATTTTTGATTTAGGAAGAATAAACACCGGCGTAAAGATGTTTGAAAGTTCAAAAACACGCCATGCTGAGGGGGAAAAATCGGCGATTGTAACAAAATGCAATCGCGCACATTATTAGCGCCTTTTAAGTCTTCCAAAAATGTCAAAAGGGAAAAGATTCGACCCCTAATTTATTAGTATGTTTGTCAAATGTCAAACTTACAGTTTTAGTATATATAATTTATGTTTGAAATTTAGATTTATTTATGACTTGTATTAACCCTATTAAAAAGGTTCTGCATTTAAATTGAGTAAAGTACTTTTAACTTGCTCAGGAATATTAATCTGAAAGTAACAATTTTAACATTTATTTTGGGGCTCCGTGAATAATGTCAACCTTTTCATGGGCTCCGCAACACCAAAAGTTTGAGAACCCCTGCTCTAAGCTAAGCCCGTTTCATTTTACAGGGAAAAACTATTTAAAAGCTTGCAAAAACGTGCAAAACAGTAAAAAACAACTACAAAAATTGAAAATAGGGATAAAACATTCTGGAAATGGGCCTTAATTTGTCATTATCAAAATACCCATCACAGTGGCTTTTTTCAATGAAAACTACGTCATTTATATAACTAAACCATCATCAGATACTATTCAAGGTAAAACATTGTATGTTGAAGGGCGGAGTGTATATTGCACTCAATCCTTAACAGTAATTCAAATATTTATCTGCCCAGCATAATAAACTTGCTAGATTAACTTGCTCTCATAATTACTTTCTTGCATACCTTTTTTGATCCTTTGCTCCTACTGAGGATTCCGATGTCATTCTCATTAAATGATTTTTGATAGTTTGTTACGAACTTATCAACATGAGATTCAACAAACGCAGAAATACCAACAAATACTTTTGCGCTTATCATGCTTGAAAGCTTCCAAGTGAAGTTGTTGATCTGAAGGAAAATTTAAAACATTGATTTTTCAAATCATTCGATTGTCTCATAACATTCTCAACGAAATATAAAAACGACACACAATTATATAAAACTCCAATACGCCTAGTATGATCCTGGAAATATTAAATTAACTAGTTTTTTGGGAGGTTTATATAATTCAAGGAAGTTAGAAGATCCCTATCTATTATTGCTATTGTCAAAAATTTAGCAAGTCTACTCAACTACTCGGTTTACGTCAATTTCTCTGTTTCATTATGAGAGCACGCAAATCGTTTTGATTATATAAAATTTAAAATCGTAATACCGTTCCGCGTTTGTAAGTATCTGCAAATGCCAGCAAAGCGTCATCACTGCAGTAGCAATGAATATTGACTGATGCAGCAGCAAACGATTGCAGAAGAGAGCTCAATTCTTTCATTCCGTCGCGTGATATTTCGACTTCTGTTTGGGTGAATTCAAAACTTGAAACCTGAAAAATACATTTATTTTAAAATGCTACTACAATCAAGACTAGTGGGATTAATGGTTCCATTTTTATCAAGAAATACGAGCGCCACATGCGTTGCTTGAAGGTTGGCAGAAAACTTGATTAATAAAAGAAAATATTTGTACGGACAAATTAGAGAGAGCATAAACATAACGAAACAAACCTCCAGCTGAGTATTATTGACATTCTTTCCCAAAATTCCGATTGACTCGCTATCTAGATTGCAACGGGAAAAACGCACTAGATCTAGCTTTTCGCTACGTCGCATTACCGATGCAATCGCTAGCATTCCACTGGGGTTGATTGATGTATTTTCGAAATTGATAACTTTGACGTGTTCCTTGATTAAATCAGCATCATTTGCTTCGTATAGAGATGCAAACATTTCCATCAAAGAAAACGAATCCTGTGTTTTTTTTAGTTCCTCGTCCATGCTACGTCTCAAAATGTCCCGTTTTTCGTTTTTTTGGTCAACTGCAAAAAAAAAAGGTAAATTTATTTTCTATCCGTTTTGTGCAAATATTTAAATACTCATGTACAAAATTTGGGTGCTTGGATAGATGCTGTCAAAATATATATCGAAAATAGTCAAAAATCATGACAGAGCTTGAAAATTTATTAAATTAGGTTTAATAAAAAAAAATGGAAGAAACTCACTTTTGAGCAATTGACCAAATTCATCCCTCGCTAGAGTGTCGTTGAGTAGACTTCCACAGTTGAACCTTCGCACTACCGACCAGTGATCAAGATGAAGAGATTGATGCACGAAATCTTCAAACTCTGGTAAATTCATCTCACAAACGTAAAGAGCAGCGAGTATCTCTTGAATCGTCTGGTGACTGAAGAAGAAACGATATTGCCCGTCAAGTAAAGTTTGTCTAAACATCGAATTGCCTGGAACTTTAATAACAATGTCCCTGATGGTTTTCGTATCGATGCCACTGTCTTGCAATTCTTTACTTTCAAATACGACGCGTTTTTCTCTTGTTCCAGTGAATGCGATTTTTTTCAGTTGGTGAAGGATTTCTGCGATTTTTACCTTCTCGCGTATATGCTCGGATTCGATTAAAATTTGAAGAATGTTCATCATGACACTGGTCATGGTATCCGGTGTGTTGTCAGGATCGTATGACTGAACGATTGCGTTGAACACCAAGAAAACAGGAACAGAAAAGAGAGGGATTAGAAATGGGGCAGTTGAGCTTATCTTATTCCACTGTCGTGGGCCGATATCGCCGAGCAAGGCTACGAATAAATCCTTTGCATCATCAGGGCTTAGTCCTGTCAAAGCGTAAATTAGATCAGGTCGAAGTTTCCCAGTTAGTGGGGCAATGCAATGCTCGCGGGAAGACATGACAATTTTAATTCTGGGTAAGAGATGGCCAGAGATTACGTTGGACATCACGGTTGATGTGCTAGCTTTTTCGCCGTGTTTTATTTTTTGATAGGATTTTGGAAGAGTCCACGGTGCCTGATCCAATCCATCAAAGAAGAAAATGACATCTTCTTGATTATCGATGACCCATTGATATCCATACAGAATGGTATTGCCATCCAAGTCAGTAATTAAGTTGCCAAACAGTAGTTCTTGGGCACTGATTGCATCGGAGTCAACAAGATCACGAATATTGACAAAATGAACAAGTTTAAATCGTTTCTTGAACCACTTTTTGAAAAGGCCAGATGCTGAATACCACTTAACAATTAAGCCACTAGAACTGATTACGTCGCGGACCATTCTATTCGTCAAGGTGGTCTTACCGCTGCCTGCTTGACCGACTAGTTCAATATGTCGCACTGTTTTATCATTGAAAGTTTCAATCAGTTCTTGCAATGAAACTCCTACTCCCTCCGTGACATGTTCTTGCAGAGCACTAAACCCAGCTTCCTTCCTGTACTCTGTTTTTTTTGGTGCCATTTCTCCATGGTAAAAACGAGTTATTCTTTTTATTTTTGGATAGACCTCAAACGTCGGTTCCCTGAGATTCTGTTCTTTGTATGCTTCAGTAACTCGTCCAATTGATTGCTTCCAAGCCCTTTTGCAGACAGTGTTTTGAAACTTCGATACATGTTTACCTATTAATAATTGGTTGTTTCAATTTCAATATATATCTTGATTTCTAAATTTTCATCGTTATTTTTTAATGTAACCATTACCTACTTTAACTTTGACTGAACTTGAACAAACTCAATCACAAACTTGAATCACTCAATGGCAAAGAGAATAATTAATAATGAAAATAATATATTTTTCGTATTATCAATCCCGTGAAATGGTTTATACAAAATTAAATTCATGCTTGCATGGTGGTAATGCTAAAATACTTGCTATTGAGCAATCGTACGTGTATAAACGTAATGCACAGTGAATTTGCTAAACTTTTGACATAAAGTTCACACCTAAAATTATTATATGCAAATGTATCCTCCATATAAAACAGATTTTTTTGCTGTTGTTATGTATAATAATATCTAATCTAGAAGCTCAACACCTAAATTACTTCGCTTATCTAGTTGAAACCCATTTTTGTATTTTAAAAAAATGAACTTTTCAAATTGAAAATGGTTATAATATGTATTTATTTAACGGGGATGTTGTTTTAATCAAGGCTTAGAGTAAAAATTGTAATTGATAGAGAAGTATGGTATTCCTAGTTATTGTAGCAGGATTTGTATTTGATAGAGGAGTATGGTGTTCTGAGTTATTGTAGCAGGATTTGTATTTGATATGGAAGTATGATGTTCTGAGTTATTGTAGCAGGATTTGTAATTGGTAGAGAAGTATGGTATTCCTAGTTATTGTAGCAGGATTTGTATTTGATAGAGGAGTATGGTATTTCTAGTTATTGTAGCAGGATTTGTATTTGATAGAGGAGTATGGTGTTCTCAGTTATTGTAGCAGGATTTGTATTTGATAGAGGAGTGCGGTGTTCTGAGTTATTGTAGCAGGATTTGTATTTGATAGAGGAGTATGGTATTCCTAGTTATTGTAGCAGGATTTGTATTTGATAGAGGAGTATGGTGTTCTCAGTTATTGTAGCAGGATTTGTATTTGATAGAGGAGTATGGTGTTCTGAGTTATTGTAGCAGGATTTGTATTTGATAGAGGAGTATGGTGTTCTGAGTTATTGTAGCGGGATTTGTATTTGATAGAGGAGTATGGTGTACTGAGTTATTGTAGCAGGATTTGTATTTGATAGAGGAGTATGGTGTTCTGAGTTATTGTAGCAGGATTTGTATTTGATAGAGGAGTATGGTGTACTGAGTTATTGTAGCAGGATTTGTATTTGATAGAGGAGTATGGTGTTCTGAGTTATTGTAGCAGGATTTGTATTTGATAGAGGAGTATGGTGTTCTGAGTTATTGTAGCAGGATTTGTATTTGATAGAGGAGTACGGTGTTCTGAGGTATTGAATCAGGTTTTTTACTTAATATTAAAGGGTTTTCTGGGTTGGGATTAGTGAAAGGGGTATTTGTTAGAGGGGTACGGTGTTATGAGTTATTGTAGCAGGATTTGTATTTGATAGAGGAGTATGGTGTTCTGAGTTATTGTAGCAGGATTTGTATTTGATAGAGGAGTATGGTGTACTGAGTTATTGTAGCGGGATTTGTATTTGTTAGAGGAGTGCGGTGTTCTGAGTTATTGTAGCAGGATTTGTATTTGATAGAGGAGTATGGTGTTCTGAGTTATTGTAGCAGGATTTGTATTTGATAGAGGAGTATGGTGTACTGAGTTATTGTAGCGGGATTTGTATTTGTTAGAGGAGTGCGGTGTTCTGAGTTATTGTAGCGGGATTTGTATTTGTTAGAGGAGTGCGGTGTTCTGAGTTATTGTAGCGGGATTTGTATTTGATAGAGGAGTACGGTGTTCTGAGTTATTGTAGCAGGATTTGTATTTGATAGAGGAGTATGGTGTACTGAGTTATTGTAGCGGGATTTGTATTTGATAGAGGAGTGCGGTATTCTGAGTTATTGTAGCGGGATTTGTATTTGATAGAGGAGTACGGTGTTCTGAGTTATTGTAGCGGGATTTGTATTTGATAGAGGAGTATGATGTTCTGAGTTCTTGTAGCAGGATTTGTATTCGATAGAGGAGTATGGTGTACTGAGTTATTGTAGCGGGATTTGTATTTGTTAGAGGAGTGCGGTGTTCTGAGTTATTGTAGCAGGATTTGTATTTGATAGAGGAGTGCGGTGTTCTGAGTTATTGTAGCAGGAACTGTATTTGACAGAGGAGTACGGTATTCCTAGTTATTGTAGCAGGATTTGTATTTGATAGAGGAGTGCGGTGTTCTGAGTTATTGTAGCAGGATTTGTATTTGATAGGGAGTACGGTGTTCTGCGTTATTGTAGCAGGAACTGTATTTGACAGAGGAGTACGGTGTTCTGCGTTATTGTAGCAGGATTTGTATTTGATAGAGGATTATGGCGTTCCTAATTATTATAGCAGAATTTTTACTTAATATTTAAAAGATTTCTGAGTTGGGATTAGTGAAAGTGGTATTTGTTAGAGGGGTACGGTGTTATGAGTTATTGTAGCAGGATTTGTATTTGACAGAGGAGTACGGTGTTCTGCGTTATTGTAGCAGGATTTGTATTTGATAGAGGAGTATGGTATTCCTAGTTATTGTAGCAGGATTTGTATTTGATAGAGGAGTATGGTGTTCTCAGTTATTGTAGCAAGATTTGTATTTGATAGAGGAGTGCGGTGTTCTGAGTTATTGTAGCAGGATTTGTATTTGATAGAGGAGTATGGTGTACTGAGTTATTGTAGCGGGATTTGTATTTGATAGAGGAGTACGGTGTTCTGAGGTATTGAAGCAGGTTTTTTACTTAATATTAAAGGGTTTTCTGGGTTGGGATTAGTGAAAGTGGTATTTGTTAGAGGGGTACGGTGTTATGAGTTATTGTAGCAGGATTTTTATTTGATAGAGGAGTATGGTGTTCTGAGTTATTGTAGCAGGATTTGTATTTGATAGAGGAGTATGGTGTACTGAGTTATTGTAGCGGGAATTGTATTTGTTAGAGGAGTATGGTATTCCTAGTTATTGTAGCAGGATTTGTATTTGATAGAGGAGTATGGTGTTCTGAGTTATTGTAGCAGGATTTGTATTTGATAGAGGAGTACGGTGTTCTGAGGTATTGAATCAGGTTTTTTACTTAATATTAAAGGGTTTTCTGGGTTGGGATTAGTGAAAGGGGTATTTGTTAGAGGGGTACGGTGTTATGAGTTATTGTAGCAGGATTTGTATTTGATAGAGGAGTATGGTGTTCTGAGTTATTGTAGCAGGATTTGTATTTGATAGAGGAGTATGGTGTACTGAGTTATTGTAGCGGGATTTGTATTTGTTAGAGGAGTGCGGTGTTCTGAGTTATTGTAGCAGGATTTGTATTTGATAGAGGAGTGCGGTGTTCTGAGTTATTGTAGCGGGATTTGTATTTGTTAGAGGAGTGCGGTGTTCTGAGTTATTGTAGCAGGATTTGTATTTGTTAGAGGAGTGCGGTGTTCTGAGTTATTGTAGCGGGATTTGTATTTGTTAGAGGAGTGCGGTGTTCTGAGTTATTGTAGCGGGATTTGTATTTGATAGAGGAGTACGGTGTTCTGAGTTATTGTAGCAGGATTTGTATTTGATAGAGGAGTATGGTGTACTGAGTTATTGTAGCGGGATTTGTATTTGATAGAGGAGTGCGGTATTCTGAGTTATTGTAGCGGGATTTGTATTTGATAGAGGAGTACGGTGTTCTGAGTTATTGTAGCGGGATTTGTATTTGATAGAGGAGTATGATGTTCTGAGTTCTTGTAGCAGGATTTGTATTCGATAGAGGAGTATGGTGTACTGAGTTATTGTAGCGGGATTTGTATTTGTTAGAGGAGTGCGGTGTTCTGAGTTATTGTAGCAGGATTTGTATTTGATAGAGGAGTGCGGTGTTCTGAGTTATTGTAGCAGGAACTGTATTTGACAGAGGAGTACGGTATTCCTAGTTATTGTAGCAGGATTTGTATTTGATAGAGGAGTGCGGTGTTCTGAGTTATTGTAGCAGGATTTGTATTTGATAGGGAGTACGGTGTTCTGCGTTATTGTAGCAGGAACTGTATTTGACAGAGGAGTACGGTGTTCTGCGTTATTGTAGCAGGATTTGTATTTGATAGAGGATTATGGCGTTCCTAATTATTATAGCAGAATTTTTACTTAATATTTAAAAGATTTCTGAGTTGGGATTAGTGAAAGTGGTATTTGTTAGAGGGGTACGGTGTTATGAGTTATTGTAGCAGGATTTGTATTTGACAGAGGAGTACGGTGTTCTGCGTTATTGTAGCAGGATTTGTATTTGATAGAGGAGTATGGTATTCCTAGTTATTGTAGCAGGATTTGTATTTGATAGAGGAGTATGGTGTTCTCAGTTATTGTAGCAAGATTTGTATTTGATAGAGGAGTGCGGTGTTCTGAGTTATTGTAGCAGGATTTGTATTTGATAGAGGAGTATGGTGTACTGAGTTATTGTAGCGGGATTTGTATTTGATAGAGGAGTACGGTGTTCTGAGGTATTGAAGCAGGTTTTTTACTTAATATTAAAGGGTTTTCTGGGTTGGGATTAGTGAAAGTGGTATTTGTTAGAGGGGTACGGTGTTATGAGTTATTGTAGCAGGATTTTTATTTGATAGAGGAGTATGGTGTTCTGAGTTATTGTAGCAGGATTTGTATTTGATAGAGGAGTATGGTGTACTGAGTTATTGTAGCGGGAATTGTATTTGTTAGAGGAGTATGGTATTCCTAGTTATTGTAGCAGGATTTGTATTTGATAGAGGAGTATGGTGTTCTGAGTTATTGTAGCAGGATTTGTATTTGATAGAGGAGTGCGGTGTTCTGAGTTATTGTAGCAGGATTTGTATTTGATAGGGAGTACGGTGTTCTGCGTTATTGTAGCAGGAACTCTATTTGACAGAGGAGTACGGTGTTCTGCGTTATTGTAGCAGGATTTGTATTTGATAGAGGATTATGGCGTTTCTAATTCTTATAGCAGAATTTTTACTTAATATTGAAAAGATTTCTGAGTTGGGATTAGTGAAAGTGGTATTTGTTAGAGGGGTACGGTGTTATGAGTTATTGTAGCAGGATTTGTATTTGATAGAGGAGTATGGTGTTCTGAGTTATTGTAGCGGGATTTGTGTTTGATAGAGGAGTATGGTGTTCTTAGTTATTGTAGGAGGATTTGCATTTGATAGAGGAGTATTATGTTCTTAGGTATTGTAGCAGGATTTGTATTCGATAGAGGAGTATGATGTTCTGAGTTATTGTAGCAGGATTTGTATTTGATAGAGGAGTATGGTGTTCTGAGTTATTGTAGCAGGATTTGTATTTGATAGAGGAGTATGATGTTCTGAGTTATTGTAGCAGGATTTGTATTTGATAGAGGAGTATGGTGTTCTGAGTTATTGTAGCAGGATTTGTATTTGATAGAGGAGTATGATGTTCTGAGTTATTGTAGCAGGATTTGTATTCGATAGAGGAGTATGATGTTCTGAGTTATTGTAGCAGGATTTGTATTTGATATGGGAGTAAGATGTTCCTAGTTATTGTAGCAGGATTTGTAGTTGATAGAGGAGTACGGTGTTCTGAGGTATTGAAGCACTATTTCTACTTAATACTGAGGGGTTTTGTGGGTCGGGGTGGGTACAATTTGAACTTGACTAGGGAGTTTTTGTAGCGCAAATAAAATTTAGTTTGATATCAAAAATTAGAGGGCTGTTATAAATGAGCTAAGAATGAGTAAACTTTGATAATGGAAGAAAGAGAGAGGCGGTCTAGTTTGAGGTATTAAACTGAAATTCTGTATACAAAATTTAATCTAGAGGTTCTAAGGATTCCAGTTATAAGTTTGTAACTTTCGTGATAATAAAATTTTACTTTATTATTCAATTATAAAACTTCAGGACGCAATACTCACGTGCTCTGAAAATGCCGAATAAACCTCCAGAGCCTGAAATAAAATATTGATGAATTTCAATTTATATTGACAAATATGACAATGATATGTTTTTAACAAGCTGGTATGTCTTTATTTTTTTATGACATGGTTGAGTATATTAATTCAAAGTTTGCATAATTATTCTACTGATTGACTTTCAATTTGAACCAAGGCCGGGAACTTTAAGCCGGTTTTGAGTGAAAGAATTCGAACCTAGGTTTTTATAGGTAGTTGATCTGTTTTCCCCCTTTATTGAAACAAAGCGTAAACAAATATGATACCCTCATTCACGAATTACTGCCGGTCGAAAAGTGTTGGAAGCGGTATTCATTAATTTACCGTAGCAAAATATGCAAATAACTCACTTGTTTTTTGTTTGCTTCCATGGGTGGAATCCCCCTTATCTTTGGGATATTGATTTATTTCTCTTTTATCGCCATCATCGTCTCTCGGCCCGTCTTGACCTGAATATTACAATTACAATTTATATTTTAAAATATGTTTTTTTAAACTTGAATCGTAATTGAACAAATATAGGTACATTTTAGATTTCAAATTGAGGAAAGCAGAAAATAAAAATAATACCAACTGTCAAAGTTTAGTAGAACTCACAATTATGTTTAAAGTTATACAATAATTCAGAGCATAAGATAACATTCCTAACAAATAATATGTATTACATGTTTCGTCATGGTCTCTTGTGCCAGATTTCCTTCTAGTATCATCGTGATATTCTTGACTCTGCTGATTTCGGGCCATTTGTTGACTTGTAGATGCTGGGCTCGAACATTCAGCACCTATAGAGGTATAGTACATAGTGATATACTAGGATTAGAATATTTTAACGGACTTAACTACTTATCTCAAGTGAATACTTCAGAAAATAAACACACTACAAAGAAAGTAACTTGAAAGAATACGACTGGAAAGTGCACTGATAAGCAAATGGAATTCTTGTTTTGATACATGACCTCGATTTGATTGGTAATTTGCATTTTTACATGAAATGTAAACAAAAACATGAAAGTCAAAAAACAATGACGTCATTCTTACCTTCTGGCTCAAATTCTTCATCTTCTTCGAAAAAATAGTCATCAACCAATTTCTCTATTTTTGCAGATAAATTTGACTTTTCAAAAAAATCTGAAATTATAGAAACAATGAATAATTTTTATATTTTGTTTTTTATATATTTTTTTAACAAGCGTTGAAACATAAGAATAAAAAAAAAATATTTCACCAGTTTTTAGTTTCCAAGTATGCAACATTTCGATGCATTTATCTTCAGACGAGTTGTTAGATTCGTCAATGGAACGAACTTTGCTGTGATCTAGGGAGAGACCACTCTTAGATTGAGCAAAACGTTTGAATTGCCTGATATCTGCAAATCTTTCAACGATCGTCTGAAAAACGTCTTCAAGTCTTTCGGCTAATGGAGAATAATAAAAAGTGTTAATTGGAATAAGCTGTATTGTAGTTAATTGCTGATAACTCAATCATAGAAATAGTGGTGGCACATGCTATAACAGAATGATTTTTTGTTAGCATGAATGTGATAAGAATTGGCTCTACCGTGAATTAGTGTACACTGTACACATTGCCTGGTCATGATATGATTTTTGTGAAATTTTTTCAAGGCTTGTTTAATGATATTTCAAGTAAGCCGACAAATATTACAATTTTAATCTGGTTTCAAATTTAGATTTTTTTCGAAGTACCTACCAGGTTCATAAGTTTCCTTTTTCTCCCCCATCTTGAAGTAGTCGATAACAAGTTGTTTTAGCTTTTCATTTGTTGCTCTTGTTCCTGCAAATGTTATTACAACATTGAAATTCGATACAGGATTAAAAATGACCTCAATTAGTGAATTTTGATTTTTTTGTTTGCGGCCTCTAAATGATCTTACAGAATATTAACTGGCAACGGTAATATTTTATCGAGGTTTTCAATTAATCGAAATTCCCGAAGGATTTTGAGCAACATGCTCAGTGGTAATCGGGTTCACAATTCTAAGTTACATTGTAATGTATGAATTTTCAATATTCTCAAATTTAGAAGTATGTCGTTTTGTAGCAAGCGGTCCAAAATTCGACAAGAGCAATAAAACAAAGAATTCGGTTTATTGTAAGAAACATTTGTATCAAACCATTTTTCTCTGCCCAATGATGAAGAATTTGAACTTTTTGTTCCTCTTCTGATTCGTAGTTGTTGCTCGCAATAATCGATACGACGTCATTGTGATCAAGGACAAGACCAATCTCAGATTTGGCAAATTTTTTGAATTCCCTCATTGGGAATTTTCTTGCGACTTCTGAGAACACATCTTCCCGCCGTTCCTTCTCCATCTCTGTGGTTATAATAAAGTCAACATTCAATTTATAAGAAAATTAAAAAGGGAAAAGGACCCGAGTATATTTTTTAATATTAATATTAAAATAACTATCAATACCAACTGACATGAATAATGAAAAACATTGTTTATCGTGGTTCCTCTGTGGCAATTAGCGAATTTGATGAAATATCTTAGCGCATCATTCAAAAAATCAAAACAAGTTTTTGCATGCTTTGATAGATTACAAAAATAAATAAAACGGCGAAGCCTAAAATTTGTTGTCGGTCTTAACAATCAAAGAAAAGAATAAAATAAATATTAAAAAATGTAATGAAGCAAAAATGGAAATTTAATTTTAAATTAGTGACTGTTAATAGAAACCTGAAGGAATTCTATAATAGCACTTGTTTATATATAATATAAAATATACTCACTAGGGAATATATTTTTCAGAGAAATATTTCAGTCTCAGCTGTTCTTAGTAATAAGTTTCTATCTAAATTATGAAATTAATTTCTGTAAAATGCAAAATTGGTCGGTGTTAAATAGGGGTCTGTTGGCCGATTGATCGTTATCATTACATTATATAACATTAGTTTATTTGAGATAATGCGATATTGATATATCGTATATCGCAACACATACTTTTCTACTATGGCTTGCTATAACTATGTGAGCAAACTGCAATTTGAAATATGCGGAACAACCATTGAGTAAATAATACTCTGTCGACAGTTCAAAATTTTATGAAAATCAAACTTATTTTGTTTCATCGCTGATATTAGGTCGTGACAAATAATGTCTAGTTATCATACTCTCAATGAGCACTAATAACAGAAAGGAATGCTACAAACAAAAACCCTGTGAAACAAATTCATTATCTAATTGAGATAATGCAATATTGTTATCTTTTCTACTATGGCTTGCTATAACTGTGTGAGCAAACTGCAATTTGAAGTATGGGGAGCAACCATTGAGTAAATAATACTGTGTCGACAGTTCAAATTTTATGAATATCAAACTTATTTTGTTTCATCGCTGATATTAGGTCGTGACAAATAATGTCTAGTTATCATACTCTCAATGAGCACTAATAACAGAAAGGAATGCTACAAACAAAAATCCTGTGAAACAAATTCAGTATCTAATTGAGATAATGCGATATTGTTATATCGTATATCGCAACACATACTTTTCTATTATGGCTTGCTATAACTGAGTGAGCAAACTGCAATTTGAAGTATGGGGAGCAACATTGAGTAAATAATACTGTGTCGACAATTCAAAATTTTATGAAAATCAAACTTATTTTGTTTCATCGCTGATATTAGGTCGTGACACATAATGTCTAGTTATCATACTCTCAATGTTGTCTCAATGTCATACTCTCTTTTGTTTGTAGCATTCCTTTCTGTTATTAGTGCTCATTGATGGAAGTTTCGGAAAATACACCATATTTCGCCAATCTGAAAAGTTGTAACAGGAGCATAAAATTGACTTAACTCAACTACAAGCGTCCCGTAATAATATCGACATTGAAACTTACGAACTAAGGAATGTATACAATAAGCATTTCAAAAAACAAAAAAATACACGGGAAACAAATTATAAAATTGATTCAACGAACGGTTTGAGTCAACAGAAAATTAGAAAGAGGATTTTCTCCTACGAATTCGTTTGGATATGAGCGTCACTATAAATCATAGATGTGGCGTTAGAAATTGGGTCGAAATAGCAATTTAAACAAATCCGAAGCCATGCCCATTTAAGTTCGTATAGCTTAATAAAATCTAACTTGATTCTTTTAAAACAATTTTTTGCAAAAATTTCAGAAATATTTTCATATTATTCCTTTTATAAGTCATATATCGATTAAAAATAAATTATATGATTGAAAACAACTTTGATACAATTTTAATGGTATAACCCTATTTGGCAATTCATATCATTATAACAGGCATAAAATTGACAGCAAAGACAGAAAACTGATTTAAAATTAAAAGGCGGAGTTGTACGTGCATTTGGAGCTTTTCTTATTGGCTTTGCATTCAAGTAAAATGCGAGTAAAAGCGATGAAATTTATTGCAGTCATTTCTGTCTGCGTTGTTACGAAATACTCGAGTAAAACTCAACAGAGTGTCGTGGTGGTGTTTGCGAAGCAATTATACTTTGGACATTTACAAGAATTACGATTAATATTGGCCACCAGAATGGATGAACGGCACTATGCAAGCACATCAATAATCCAATGACATTTCCTAGTAATTATATTGATTTCACCAGTTGCATTTCCAACTCAAATGGGTGCTCAATACAATAAGGTATTCAATATTTCCATACAATGACTTCACAGAAGTCAGCTTGTGGCAAACAAAGTGAAAATAATTACTCGAAAATCCACGTATACTTGTTAAAAGCGGCATGCGATTCTGTGCTATTGGGAAAAACGTCTTTTACTTGATGTTCTCGGTTTAGACAACAAGAAAACAATGTCGCACCATTTTCAAAATATCCGTTCATTTTGCGTTGATCATTCATGACTAGAGAAATAGTGACCCAATAGGTACGATTGAATATCTGACAATGCTTGAGTTTATTCAATAAGCGCGTAGCCAACATTGCAAATATTGTTCAAAAAGACATGGAAATACAAAACAAAGATCAATTTCGCACTAATTGTCGAATTGTTACAAAGTCGTTCTTTTCAGAAGATGAAGCTTGAAATTTTTGTAAGATTGTATTGATCTGCCCCGAAACATCCATACAAAAAAACTGCTTACAACTGTATATAAGCAATAGATCTGAAAATATTTGTACAACGGAATGAATGTCTGTCTACGTTTCCGTTTCCAGGACCTATCCTCGATGTAACGTTATTTAAATTTCTCTTTCACTATTTTAATATATATCTATCATACCTAACGTACCCTTACACACGTACACGTGGTCTGAATGCAATCAAGTAGGTTCCCTTGGCAAAGACATTCCTAAACCACACAAGAAGTCAGAAATAAACAAAATACCATCCTTGAAAATTAAACAAAGTCGACTGTAAAACATTTGAATTCAATTATATTCATGCTTCATTAAACATGAAAATTGTTTTTATTTGCATTTCAAAAACAAATTTCTTCAATATTCAGGCCCCATTTACATATAATAGATATTCAGTATTCAATTTTGTTGCTGAGATGTTTCAATGGGATATAAGTTAAGCGCTTTGGGGTAATGAAATTTCGTTGAACGGAATCTCATGGAGTCATTTTTGTGTTTAAATTTAGCCCCAACAATTCAACGACTTTGAGGGTGAAAATATTCAAAGTTAATTTATATTCTCGTATCACTGAAAATGAATTTTTTTGTTTTGTTACAATCATTATGATAAAACACAATATAATCGTCAAGGGATTAAAAAAATGTTAATATTATCAACCTTTTCATTACAAGTGCACCCATTAAATATTATATATTTAGTATATATTATCAACAATTTAAGTACAGTCATTCATCAATTTTTGCTTTCACGAAAATATTAAAGTGAATATGTACAATTATCATTCGCATTAATATCTAAAAAAGTTAGGACGGAGCTGCTAAACTCACAAACCTCAACAAAAACAGCCAGAAATTAACTTGAGATACGATCCACATGTGTATGATACCCACGATCTTTTCAGTATGAAGACAGCAATAGCTCATTTGTGCCTCAGTTGTGATATGTGCATAGCACGCCTAATAGAATCTGTCTGCATGAGCAGTGTGCATCTTAAACATCTTACCATCTACCTTGAAGTTAAAAATAATCACGGGTGTAAAATTTTTTATTTTTTGGGGGGGGGGGACTTGTCAACGACGGAAACGTAGAATGAAAATGAGAAAGTAATCATACACAAGTTTCTTTCGCACTCTCAATTTTTATTATTAAAAATCGCTTCGAACACGGTTGTATGCGGCCCCGATACCGCCAAAAGACGTGGGAAGATACGGGGTCACAGATTGATCGTTATCTACATTGTATAACAGATACGGGGTCACAGATTGATCGTTATCATTACATTGTATAACATTAGTTTAATTGGGATAATGCGATATTGATATATCGTATATTGCCTATCGCAACACATACTTTTTTACTATGGCTTGCTATAACTGTGTGAGCAAACTGCAATTTGAAGTATGGGGAGCAACCATTGAGTAAATAATACTGTGTTCGACACTTCAAATTTTAATATAAAATCAAACTTATTTTGTTTCGTCGTGAAATTGAATACAAAGCAATATATTACTAAAACACCTTCAATAAAAATGAGATATTTCTATATTTGTCCCATGATACTAAATTTGTTTCACAGGGTTTATGTTGTTTGTAGCATTTCTTGCTGTTCTTAGTGCTCATTGATGGAAGTTTTGAAAACACACAATATTTCGCCAATCTGAAAAGTTGTAACAGGAACATAAAATTGACTTAATTCAATTACAAGCGTCCCGTAATAATATCCACATTGAAACTTACGAACTAAGGAATGTACACAATAAGCATTTCAAAAAAACAAAACTACACGGGAACAAATTATAAAATCAATTCAACGAACGGTTTGAGTCAACAGAAAATTTGAAAGAGAATTTTCTTTTACGAATCCGTTTGGATATGAGCGTCCCAATGAAAAAAAAACATTTGCAATAATTGTCACTATAAATCAGGGATGTGGCGTAAGAAATTGGGTCGAAATAGCAATTTAAGCAAATCCGAAGCCATGCCCATTTAAGTTCGTATAGCTTAATAGAATCTAACTTGATTCTTTTGAAACATTTTTTGCAAAAATTTCAGAAATATTTTCATATTATTCCTTTTATAAGTCATATGTCGATTAAAAATAAATTATATGGTTGAAAACAACTTTGATACAATTTTAATGGTATAAACCCTATTTGAAAATTCAATATCATTATTACTGGCATAAAATTGACAACAAAGACATAAAACTGATTAAAAATTAAAAGACGGAGTTGTAC